TAGAGATGGACACCGAGAATGGATAACATCAGATGGAAGAATATAAGAAACATATGTTTGGACAGGGAATTGATTTTTCTTCAGAACTGAGAGCAGAGAATACTGGGTTCAATTCCCACATAGCCCTAATGGTGCCTCCTGTGGCAGCCTGTGTTGGTTGCAAAGACACTGTAAAACACACTGTAAATTTCCTCATTGTTGGACGAATAAAAGATTTAATTATATTCAATTATTATTATGAGATCGATTCAGGGTTATGACAAAGTGGTTTTCAGTTTCAGTTTATAGCTCTTGTCCTGACGAGTGCATGTGCACAGATGGCACCATGGATGAGGGAGACACTCCTCCAGATTTATAGTGACTCTGATCAGCGCCCCCCACTGGCCATTATTGTAAAGAAAATTAAAGGCTGTTAACTGTCATCTGTGTCAGTGTCTTCGTTTGGGCTCCGTAACATAAGCCTGGGAAGATGATCAGAGCATCATAGGGCGTTAAATTAGAGTCAACTTTTACCAAACACAAGAGCACAAACTTTACAGCACAAACTATACGTATAACTGCGCAGAGCAACATGAACGAGTGGCAGACGGACAAGGGGAGACGCTGAGAGATGCTATGATGCATGAGCCAATCAGCAGGAGACAATCAGCAGGAGCCAATCAGCAGGATCCAATCAGCAGGAGCCAATCAGCATGGGGAACAGAAGAGCATGCTCAATGTTGTGTTCGATCTCCTCTAGGTAAACAAAGCTACCATTGATGTCTTTTAGTTTATTTTTACTGTTTAATTTTTTTTAAGTTAGAAAATGTTTTTTATCACAAAAATATTGAAAACATTGGAAATGTAAAGAAATTACCGTAAAACAACTAATGTTCAGTTGGTGACATTTTTTTTTCCGAGTTTGCTACAAGTAATGCTGCGTTCGAGTTGTACTCAAATGTTGGAATTTGCAAGCTCCAGGTCAGATTTTTAAACAGAACCTAACACTCTAGGTGATTGGAAATCTCAGAGCTTGCTCCCCCCACTCCACACCCCCCGCTTCACTCTTGCCTTGTTACATTGTGGATCTATATTTTATGAATACAGAGGAGCAGAATGGAGCAGAAATGAGTTTAAAAACCGATTGGAAAATATGAAAAGCTTCAGTCCACTTACAGCAGCAGTTTTAGACTTTTACCTTTAGACTTGAAGGTAAAAATCAAGCTGTACATCATCTGACATGTTCTTATTACACGTATTCTTCATCCTATAAATGGTGATTGTGTGTAGGTGGCCCACCCAGTAGCAGAATGAAGCAGAAGTGAAGTGCTGACTTGAGTGAAGATTAGAGTAAATGGTCGAACAAGACCGGAGCAGCTACTGTCAAAAATGGCAACCGGGGACTGGTATAATTGTGTCTGGCAAACACTGAAGTCGACATGGTGGAGCTGAGGCAGTGAAAGAGCAAAAATAGCTGTTCTCCAGCGATGACTGAAAACTGGCAGGGCCGCAGTTTTCGCACTGCTGTGGCCTGAGGTGGTGAGTGGCTAAATGTTTGCAAGTGGAGAGGTGAAGCAGCGGGAGAGAAGACCAGGAGCCACACCTTTGTGTGGTACATTTACACAAACACACTCTCACACACACACACACACACAAAGCCCTGTAGTCTGCACCTGAGTAGAATTCGCAATAATGTTAAATAAATCATATACAGTCACCAGCTGCTGCTGAATTGTTGCTGCACTGTATCGCATTTTGACAACTCCCAGCCAGAAAATGACTAGAAGGGATCTGTTGGTCGGAGTCTGAAGATACTGTACAGTAAGTCTTCACCGCTAATCGTCATCAGCACAAAATAGTAGAAATACAAAAAGTATTGCAATGGCAATAAAGGAAATGTACTTGCTTTATTGTTCTACTTTTTCTCATTTATTTTTTTTATTTGCTATTTTTCAATAATTTAAGTTTATGTTCATTCTGTGCTAGGGTCTGCGGTCAAATTCCCAAATTGCCATGTGGAGTCATAGACAGTATATAAGAAATGTCATGATTTACCTCGATTAATCATGATTAATTGAAATAATTCAACATTTTTAACAACCATATTTTAAAAAAAATTAAAATGTTCTGTGTGTTGCTGGGACAAAAAAGACAAACAGCTGGTACATGTTTGCGTTTCACTTTGGTTTTAGTCCAAATCATAGAATTATTAGGTGGGAAAATGACAAGAAAAATATGCAAATGTCTATGAAGTTGAAGGATTACTATATAACGATATATAGTGATGATACTGTACATATTATATTATCAATAATGATGATGGATGGACGGTGTTTTTATCATTGTATTTTAAATATATAGTTAACTGTCCATAATTGTGTCCCCTTGTTGAAATGCATCACTACTTTAATCAGATGAATTTTAAAAATGAATGAATAAATGAGCACAAAGTGTTCATTTTAACAGCCATATAATAAGATATTCCTGCAGTAGACATTTGGTGGTGAAAGCCCTTTTTTTAACCTACGTGACAGAAACGTTTTAATCTCCCAGAGCCTGATTCCAGCAGTTTGAAACTCCGACTTCCATTAAGTCACACACTTCTCCCCAATGCACTGCTCATCAAACTTACATAGATCTGCAGTTAAGGGAGCAGAATGGGAAAAATCACAGAGGCCACCATTAAAATTCAGAACCACATCCGAATTACTTATTTATAATTGTAAAGTTAAAAAAGTGTTCAGTTGATGTAGTGGCCAGGATCTAGGAGAACTGAAACACTGGTATGAAGGGTTAGAAAAATATATTATTTAAAATCTGGCAGCTTAATTAGAGAAAATAAAATGGAAAAATGAACAATGTTTGCTACCTGTAGTGCAGTGTGATCAGCAGCAGTTAATTAAACAAAATGAGACGTAGTCCCCGGGAAGATTATCAATGATGCATCACAAGCAGTGTGGAAATTCACCGTGGTGCCACAGGATCCACAGACCATGATGGGGATGTAATGATAAACAAACAACAATCGCCTGTGATGAAGACAACTGAGCAGTCTTCATGATCCGTCCACCTCTGGCTGCCTCTCATAATGCTGTCCCGCTGCTCACTGACTGAGCTGATTTCTGTCTCCTCTACCACCACTGCATCTGCTCTCCTTTACTACACTCTACTTCACTCTTTCACAGCTGACATTTCTTGCTTTATGCTTCCTTTGGCTTCACAGGTATGTCAGTGTTCTTGTGCTCCCAGCTGAAAAGTACAACATGGGTTTGAATCCCTGTGGGTTTCAGGAGCTGGCACTGTTTTACTAGATGGAAGAGCACAACCACTTTAGAGTATATTCCAGTCCCTCTGGTGCTGCTAGTGGAATACTAAATATGTTTGATTCACAATTTGTACATTATCATCTCTGTGGCTGTGTGTTCTCTCTATGATCAGTAAAAGTCAAAGAATTACCTGAGAAACAAACTCTTTGACATAACATATGGGCCACGCAGTGAAAGGGCGGTTAATGCCTTTGCTTTACAGCAAAGTGATTGCCAGTTTAAACTGGTGGTTTGTGTATATGGAGTTTGAATTATTTAAGGCTATTGAACCACCAATCTTACTTATTCAGTACAATGAAAGTAAGCATAACTAAAAAATAGGACTGGATTAAGAAAATCTTTAAATATATTTTGATGATGATCCAAATGTAAATCCTTACATCTTTAGAAAGGTTTTTGTCTGTCGTAACACCGACATAAGTGATGTAGCTCTTTGGCTCCTAGTATTAAACTCAGTGAAGTTAATTTAATGAGGAAAAACCTCAGTCTCAATTGAGAGATTTTTTTTTACCTTTGAGATTCGTTTTCGCACCGACACACGTTTTGGTAAATATTCGGTTAGTGTTAAGTGGACTTTGCGCTGCTACAGGGAAACAAATCCACTCAGTGGTTTTATTGGTCCGTGGTTACTTTGGGGAGATGTGCTGCAGTTTTGCTCATTAAATGATTAAATCTGCCCTTTGGAGTCTGCACTATTGCACGTTAGTTGCCCTTTTCCCCTCTGTGAATGCAACACAGGCACTGAAATCAAAGGAACACTGAATATGTAAATGTGTAGGACAATTAAAGGAACAAAAACAGATGAGTAAATTCATAAATATGACTTTTGAGGAATACGTTAACAGAAAAAAACATTTTTTCGGTGTATTAATTGATGACCTATACCAATGAAGGAATTACTAACATGAAGAAAATTAAACCAGAGAATATCACTGAAGCAGTTGAAAGTGCATCCATTGTTATTCATGACTCTTTGTCCACATCCACTATTTTCTCATCCCCCGGCCAAGTTAAGCTACAGCCACACCATTAACGTCCTGATGTCAAAGCAATTAACTGCTGCATTACTTTCTCTGTGCAATAAAATACACTCCAAATGTTTTCGGGGAACTCAATAAACATCTGCATCCCGTTCCGTCTTCCAGAATCCGACCTTCGTTCTGCGGCAGGACGTAGCGTGATCTGATAAGGCTGACGTGTGTCTGCCTCTCTCAGCGATCTACGACCTCTCCCTCCACAGCCCTCCTTCACCCAGAGTTTACGATCCCACTCTTCACTCCTGCTGCTGCTCGTGTTTCACTCTGCAACTGTTGTTCTTCACTTTCGTCCTCTTCGTCAGTCGTGACATGTATTATGTAAAGTTTAGGAAGACAGAGGAGAGTCAAGAACCAGAGGTGGAACCAAGTCATTGCTTTGCAAGTCACAACTAAGTCTCGAGTGTTTGCACTCAAGTCGGAGTTAAGTCTCAAGTCAAGACAGGTAAAGTCCGAGTCGAGTCCAAGTCAAGACTGAAAAGTGTCAAGTCAAGTCCCAAGTCCTGCCGTTTCTCTTTCGAGTCCTTTTAAACAAAATAATAATATATTTACACAGATCACTGCCACTCGTTTTTTGTTGAAGCACTCGTAGTTTTTAAAAGTGAAGTCATGAGTCATTGATGTTAAAGTTAAAGTCGAGTCTAAAGTCATTAAATTGAAGATTCGAGTCTGACTCGAGGCCAAGTCTTGCGACTCGAGTCCACACCTCTGTCAAGAACCATGACAGGGACTGTTCATCCCTGTGCTCACCTGTAGGCATTATTATACCGCTGGTCATGTGACACGCTTGTTGTGTAACAGTATGAAAGATACAATGCCAAACAGTCATGGTTAATCAACCACTGTGATATTCAATAGTGTGGTCTTATTTGCTGATACCTGTTGTGAATGAAGTATCTATTATGCATTGGGTACAAGTACAGACCAAGGTAGGAAATCTAACACCCAGAAACGACAGCAGTGTTTCCTGTTCCACAGGTGATGCGCTTGTGTGATGTCAGAAGCAGTTTCTGATAGGCTGCAGAGGTCATGTGGTGGCTGTCCAACCCCCATCCCACCCCACCACCCAACACGGGGGGTATTTATGCAATTATAAATGTAGCCTACTTTGTCACTAGCTTCTCTGTGAATGAGATCTATAGACACTGTGACTCAGGGCTGCTGTATTTACTCAGTACTTTCAAATACTGTAGATCCTCTGTTGCACAGACTGTTAATATCACCAGGGGATTGAAGGTTACCATCCGGCATTTGCTCTTCTACCTCCACACAGAGGTCAGAAGAACAGATTAGCTAATAGCTGCTGGAGGGAAGTTGAATATTTTTAGCCAAATTTGGCTTCAGGGTGATCGGTTCTGCCTGACCCATCCTCTGAGAACAGTCTCTCTGTAGCTCTCTAATTATTTAATCACCTTAATAAAACCATAAACTGAGGGGGAAAATGTCAGGTAAAAGCTGAAATTACAATAGTTATATTTTTCACATTTAATGTAACTTTTTAGATAACCTAGGAGTCACAGGCTCACTCAGGTGAATATTCTCCCAAGATCCATATATTATCATGACAGGATATTCACGGTGAGGTACAAATGAAAAAAAAAAAATCTATAAATCAAATTTGATAGGAAGACAAAGTTATCTACAACCCACACAAAGACAGCGTAGCTAAAGTGCTGGGATATGAATTGTGGCTCACTTCCCCACGTGCTGTAATATTCTTGTATAAAGACTTGATGATTTATGTTCACAGTCTGTTCCCGGTATGATTTCTATGTCATTTATTGCAACCGGACCATATGAGATCACAGATAAATCTGTAAAAAGGGTAGCGCACCATAATGTCGCTGTTGTTTGTGCGTTTCCCTCCACAGTCATTAGCCTCGGTTTGTTTGTGCATCTGCGTGTGTGATTAAACAGAGCGTGGTTTTCATTTGACAACACAGGACAGACCCAGTGTTGGAGAAGGGTTATTAATTGCTTTCTAATAAAATCAAATGAATGGATTGAACCACGTTGGATCTCAGTTCTACGTTTAATAATATTGATCATAACGTTGTATTTGCAGAGAGTGGAAATAGAAAAGCCTAATGAGATCGTTCGGCTTCACCCCCAAGGCAATTTGTCACAGGGGCGACATGATTAAAGATCACACCTTACAGAGGTTGGATTACTTACAATCACAATGACGGAGCCTCTCGACATTGGTTCACCATTTGTCACATGACAATATGATGTAACACCGCATTAAATGTCACTTACTTGCATAAGAATCAGAGTTCAGGGCCGTTTGTGTGAGAATAATTCCTTAGAGAAAATACATATATACTTATATATATATATTAAATATATATATATATATATATTAAAATCAGACTCAACAGTGCAGTCTTTTAACATCTGCCGTTATTGTCATTTTTCAGTCTTCTGTGAAACACAAAAACAAAACTGCAACCCCCAAAAAAGTAATTTTCCATCCTTGGGTGGCACTTCAATTATAATCGCTCTTTTTTAACTGTAAGCACTTCGGTGTTTTTTTTTTTTTAAACCTCATCTCTAAATCTTTCTGTGTTTTCTTTTTCATTTAAATACTTAATATTCTGCGCAAATGTCCCTAACCATTATGTCATACTAAAATGAAAAATGTTCTCCTTTATCTTGAGAAAACCAGAGGGGTCAAGGCAAGGTCTCGTTCCCTGCAAACAAGAGAGTATAATGCAAATGATTTGTATCGTTTTTTTTTCCGTCAGGAACGACTAGATGCCATCGTCCTTCTTCTCGGGAAACACGAACGCAAAAAGAACGTGCGACAAACGAGTTGATTATGTGTTTGTTGTTGAAAGACGTTTTAACTGCACACAGTGACCCACAACTTGGTACATTTAAATATAAGGAGTAAAAAAGACACACACACACAGAGCAATTATTACACATCCAGATAAGTCAGATTACCCCTGCTCTAACCTGGCCTTGGCACACTGCGCATGCTCCGCTCTTTCCTCATTGGCTTAGAGCCTGAAGATGGAGAACAAGTACTGAGTACCACACCGTGATAATACAGAAAAAACTGTCTCTAAAATCACACTGAAATGGTGAGTGATGGGTTGGAAGCCAAGTGTGCAGAAAACAATTGAACAAACAGCATGTCATTTAAAGGTTGGACTTTCCTCGTGTGTGTGTGTGTGTGTTTTTTTTAACCTAGAGATGAGGCCATTCGTCGATATTAACAACTCGGAAGAGTTTAATGTGCATGTAAAAGGTGTTTCTCCCTCTTTCCTTTCCTCCCTCCGTCCCTCCCTCCCTCCATCACTCACTCACTCAGCGTGCCAGACACTGTGTCGGCCAAACAGCGCTATTTGCTGGAGCAGGACTGGCACTTCTCCAGACCATGGGGGTAGCAGGCTTGGCATCGTAGATCACTGATGGACTCATTGAAGCGGTTCGCCAGCATAGACAGCTTGCTACCATGACACAGAGAGCAGGGAGCACAGCCTGAGCCGCCACAATGCTGGCAGCTGTCTGCCTCCTGGTGAAAGAAGAAACACATTAGAGAGGAGAAGAAGTTGGGGCGCGGGGTGGGGGGGCGGCAGGGCAACTGAGAGAGGAAAAAAAACAGGATTGGGGGAATGAAGGATGCTGGGAGATGATAGCTGGAAGTTCACAAGATGAAGTTAATGCATTCATCCCAAACTGTGCTGTGTTTAGCATCCAGTCCTGTTTGGCATTTATAGGTCATTTTGAAGACTGGCACAATTGAATACCCCCCTCAGTTTGTCTGCTTCGTTTTGTTTGAATAATTGCAAATTATTCAATATCCTGACTCCGAATAAGCCGCCTGTGTGAGAGCTGTATCCAGTTCATGGACATGACACCAACACTACCACGCAGTCGACAGAACTTAAATGGATTTTCTCTGACAAACACAATGGCTAACCACCTTAGCATTTCTTTTTCTTTTTGTTTTTGTTTGTTTTTTTAAGTAGGTCTGTCTGTCTGTCACTTCTACTGTCAGCTAATTATAACAGAAAACACTTACAGTAATGAGAACAGCCTGCACATTACTGATAATGGCAGCCAATGTATGTTGGCCTCTGTTTAAAACATTACTGAAATATTCCTCAGGAAGGAAATTGAAGGTTTCGCTACTATGTTATATATATTTTTTAATTTTATATATATTAATTTTTGTTTGCCTTTTCTCCATGCAGACGTACAGCTCTGGTCATTCAGTAAAGCTCATTAGCAGAACATGATTTTTGCTGTATGTTTAGTTGTTTAAATGTAACAGAATATTTGCAGAACAAATTAAAAAATATGGTTTAGGAAACTAGTAAATACCAACTGGATTAAAAAAAAAATCAAAAACATAATTAAGAGGATGAGGCTTCTGATATCTGTGTCAAGGTTAAGGAGGTGTAACCTTTTATTGGTGTTTTTATTTTTTTTTTTCAAAAATAAAAGTGAATTTAAAATCAATTTGAACTTAGTGATTGTGATGGTGACAACTTTAAGAGTTTTTTATTATTATTATTTGAATTTGAATGTATTGATTGGAAATTGTTCAAAATATTAAACACTGTACACTAAATACTGCCACCTAAATGTGTCCACATCAATTTCACAAATTACATACATCAATTGTCCACATCAATTTCACAAATTACATACTGTGATATCATTACACAGTTTAAGCAGATTCTGTAGTACAGTAGTAACCTGCAGACAACACCATACACTTTGGTCTATTCTGTGCTGTGATTGAATGTAATGTAATTATGACGAGGTTAGAATGTATTAAATGTTTAGTGTTAAAGAAAGTTGTGTTTACTACAAATATAAAACACCATACATATTGGCAGTGATAATATTTGTGAAATGTAGGTAAATATTCACGCCTTTGGTTAATTATACAGAAGAAAAAAATTACCATTTTACCCTGTGACAAAAAAGTAAAAGGAGCCAAGGAAAGAGGGCAGTAATCATCCCGAGGGGTGAGGATGAGTCAGGATGGGAGAGGAGAGCAGAGGAGCAGTAATACTCGCAGGCTGATAAGTGGCAGGCAAATGCTGCAAGGGCAGAGGAAAACTGTGGACTCATCAGTATATGTTCACAGTTGATAGATAACACAAGGACAATGGGATGGAGGCTGCTGCAGCAGGATGAGGCCGTGGAAAAAAAAGGGGAAAATAATGGCAGGACAAATAAGGTGGAAGTTACAAGGAAAGACAGTGAAGACAGTGGTACGAGAACAATCGGCCCTTTGTGGATGGCTGTGATTTACAGGAATAATAACAGACGTAAGAACAGACATATTGTTGCACAGAAGCCATTTTCCTGGAAGCTGAGCTGAGATAAAGTAACAATGGAGAGACATATGCTTGAAAGGAAAAGGGAAGAAAGGGACACGGGGGGATGTGAAGAATTTTAAAAATGAGCCGATCAGGACCATTACCTTGGTCTTCATCTCACTCCTCTGCCTCTCCCCCTTGTCCTTGTCCTCCCTGACCCGTGAAGAAGGACTCTTGGTTCTCCTCCTGCTTGTCCTCTCCTTGGCCTTTGGGTATTCTTCCAGGTCTACGTGAGCATCTGCGTGGTGCCGCGGTTCTTCGGGATTCCTCGGCGGAGCTCTGATGATGCGCAAATTGCTGGTGTAGATGATAATTTTGCCAAAATCTAACACCTGGGACTGAAGAGAACACAAATTATAATATTTTCCCTCCATCACTTTTACTCAACAGCAGCTGCGCAGCCTATAGGAAGAAATATATCTCAGTGGCCGCCCCAGCGTGTCACTGTAGCTCACCGGAGTCTTGGAACAAAACAAATGCATCTGGCCGCCCTCTGGCCACAACTCCTCCATTATGCATGTTCATTTACAACTAAAAAGGCTGTGTGGACACGAGTCACAACCATTAGGCCGTTGTGAAAATTAGCTTTGTCAGAGTTGCAAATTACTAGCAACTGGTATAATGGAGAAAATAACTCCCATTTGCATGAATACGACTTAAAAAATACACATTTCTGGAGCTGAAATGTTTATGAAACACTATAACATTACACACATATTATATACATATACATGTGTATAGATAGATGGATGATGGATGATGGATGATGGATGATGGATGATGGATGATGGATGATGGATGATGGATGGATGGATGGATGCATAGATTTTTATGTCATTTTACACGTACTCCTTAATCAGGGTCATAGGGCAAAGGTCAGCGTCAACCTAGACCAGGGGTCTCAAACTCAATTGAAGTGAGGTTCACTGCTGACATCATTGTTTATTGAAAGTCCACATCAGTGTTTTCAATTATGTTATTAACAACTGTTAATAATAAATAAAACAATAATAAATAATAATCTAATGATTAATTAGAATAAAACAATGCAAATCAACGATAAAAATGTTTTTTTCTCAGAGGTTTCTGACCCCTAACCTACACAGTAAACAAGTCAAATACAGGAGTAGATACTGTATAAACACAAACAACCGTCCATTTTCACAATTATACCACGGATACAATTACTCTTGAGTGTTTAATTAACCTAATCCCATGGTTTTACTCTGGAAGGAAATCTGAGTGGCCTGAGAAAAGCTACAGAGAGAGAGAGAGAGAGAGAGAGAATATGAAACTCTACAGAAAACACCAGGGATCAGCTGACATCTGGGATCTCCTCCGCCTCCTCCTTTAAACCATGCTCACTCAGTAAACTACATCCAAATTCCTGTCTTCCACTGATAGATGTGATTAATACCAACCACGGTTGCGAAACCTACGCTGCGCCAGCGGCCAATAAACCCGACCTTCCAGTCATCCCATCAGTTTTTGCCTTTTCGTGCCAAAGATTAGTCAGTGAATCTACAACCGAAAAAAGGTCAAGACTAGAGAGCTGCTGTAATCTGATGATCCTCCCTTATATCACTAGAATTTTTATTTTGTCTTGTACCTCCTTTCACAGTGAGGCAGACAGACATGAGAGCACTAGTAGGGACAATGAAGAATCTTTAAAAGTGGTAGCTTACATTGGCGTCTCCCTCTGCTCCCTCACTCAGGCCAACAGCGGGCTTGTAGCTCCCGATTCCTCGGTACACATTTATTCTCTGGGCTATGAGCCCAGTTGGAGGATAGACACCTGGGTAAAGAATGAAAGCATTTGTCAGTACAGACGGAGCGCTGAAGAATTGAACGCAGACACTAGTTTGTCTACCAGATATGTGTGTGTGTGTATTTGTGTGTTAGTTGAATAAGAGAGTAAAGAAAAATCCATTAGATAAGAAGTTTGTCTTTACTTACTATAAATTTAAATTATGACTAATGAGCAAAGGAGTTATTTTTATATTTATTCTGTTGTATTTATTCATTGGTAAATCACTGTGAACATTCATGAACTCTTTTGCAAAAAACTGGATTTAAACCATTCACTGGAACTGCTCACACATCACTTTTGATCTGTGGTAATTAGTTGACCTATGACCCCAGACAGGAAATAGTTCAGCCACCTCTGTCAAAGGACCCAATGTTATTTCATACGAGTGTTTTTTTTTTCTTTTGTACAATGAACTTAGACAATTAACGTTTATTTGCAAGATTTCCAGGCAACTTCATTTCCTGCTGTTCAGACGGTTTTTCTCTCCAGTTCTGAGTTCAGTCTGCCCTTGGCAGCTCCCAACAGCTTCACAATTAAATAAAAGCCTTTATTTCACCGACGTAAAAGGCTCAGAAGGCATTTGAAAAATGCTTTTAGGATATATTAGAGGTTAAAATGTGACTCGACTTCTCCACTGTGAGCAGCTCTAATGACTTGCTCTATTAAAAAAAAAAAAACAATGACCTGAACATGTTATTTGTTACAACTGGAAGTCCACTATTACACATTTTAACACTCTGGCCTGGATCACTGGGCGTGTCCTGATAGGTCATCGGCCTGATTGGTGTTAATGTATGAATTTAAACCTAGCAGTAACGGTAATGAAAACTTAATGAAATGTTAAAAACTATAATAACAGACACGACTGTTCTACATCAGGGGCCACATTCAGCCTGATTAGATGTCAAGTGGGTCGGACCAGTACACTCATAACATAATTACCTAGAAATAACAATAACTCCATGTTTCTCTTCATATTTAATGAAATATAATTTGTCAAAAGATTACAAATGGGAAGTGTTTGCGCATTTTTCCACTTTCAAAGTGGCACACCCCCACCCCCCCAGTGTGCCGGTTTTGGTCAGCAATCCCTAGATTTGACACCCCTGTTCTACACCAATGTAATATTGTTCCTATATTATTCTCTTTGTTCGATCAAATCGGGAGACGTCATGATTGCATTCTAATCATAGCACTGAACTCAGCACACACAAATACAAACATGCTGCACAGCCTCCGTCCACATTTTTTTTGCACATTTGTTTACTTGTGAAGACAAACACATGCGAAGGCAAACACAAGCCCAGTAATTTCATGCAAATCAGTCAAACATTGTGGGCTTAAATACTGCGGACAAAGGCAGAGAACACACACTGTTTGTCAAGTTTAAAAAGAGAGTTGTGCTTGAATCCCACCTTGCTGGTCCCCATGAGGGTCTTCGAACCCACAGAGCTGCTCCACCTCCAGGTGGCTGGGGGGGATCTTACGGTGGACAAAGCTGTGAGGGTATTTCTCCTCAGGACTGTCCAGCTCCTGACCATCCTCGTACACATGCTTCAGCACTCTGCCGCTGTAGGAGGACGCCAACTTGAACCTAACCTGTGGTTCAGACAGGGGTAATCAGCAGTGATGTTCTGTCTTTACTGCAGTGACTGTGACAGTGACTTTGTATGTATGCTAACTTGAACCTACGCTAATCTGTACCTTTGAAACAAAAGGAAGGAATCTAAAGAGTTTGGTAATTATGAGATTATATCTATCTGGAGTCAGAAGTTAGAACAACAAAGTAGGAGTTCCTTTAATTTAAACATCAAGCACAAAGTCGTTTACTGCAGATGTTGGAAATACTTGGAGCCACAAACAGTAAATCCTCTAAACAAGACTGGAGTAATGGAGAAGGAAAAAAAAATCAATGTTTCTACCCCAAAACAGCTTCAAAACCCTCGGACCAAAAATAAAACAATTCCAAATAAATAAATAACTCACCTTCCTTGGATTGGTGCTCTCGTAGCGCTTATTGAGTTTTTTCTGAAGTTCCTCCATGTCTGTGTGCTTGATGGAAGAAGGGACACAAGTGAGCACATCAGTCCATCCAAGGAGCTCCTGACATCAGCTGCACACCGAGGTTTCTGAGGAAGAACAGATGGTAACAGGTAAAGGGATTGATCGATGAATCGCTGTCTGGGTTTTTGTTTTTTGTTTTTTCCAAACAGTGATGGGACGGAAATGTTTTCTCCCTGTGTCGTGGGTTTTGACTCTACCTGCTGTTTGGAGGAACCCACCTCTCTGGCTCCCTGTGCTAAATTATTCACGGCTAGATCGAATGCACAAAGGGATAGTTGAGAAACTAGAAGCTTTGTCATCAAATAATTATGATCACCAAAAATAGATGGCAGTTGGAGGCTGTTTAGAGCAGCAGGAAAAAGAGGGCTGAATGTTGTGCGTGTGTGTGTTAGAGAGAGAGAGAGAGAGAGAGAGAGAGTGATGTCATCTGTGTTTTGAAGAAAATGTGGTCTGATGTCACTTCTGACTGAAACACACACATCAAAAACAATTCTGCTGCTCTATTTATTCAAGATCTATCTTTAGTCGGTCTCTAAAAAATAAAATAAAACCACAGAACAGTGAAGCTCAGGTTTGTAAAATTTACAGTTAATATTTAGAACTACAATGAGTCGTAATTACAACAGATCTAAGAAAAAAAAAGGATCAAAGTTATTGACAGTAAAAATGGAGGCCGGTGGAGTCTTAATAATCCAAAGAGCCAGCAAAGGCATCAAAACATCGGCATATTTCTAGTCAGAAGAAAGAGGCCTCGGCTTAAAAACACAGGGTACGAACGCAGACACAAGGAAGAAATACTGGAGGAGGAAACAAACTGACAGGCAGCAGAGACAGAGAGGAGACAGAGGGTTGTGTAGAGACAAGGGAGGAGTTAACAAGACACAGGTGGAGGAGGTGAAGTAATCACCGCGGAGGGAAAACTTCGCAATCGTGTGGACACGGAAACCACGATGGAGGAAACGAGCGAGGCACAAAAGAACCAAAGGGAACGAGCAGAAGAGACGGAAAAATAAATGAAAGTATAGTAGTATTTGCATAGACACATATTTATAAACCATCAAACTTTGACCGAATAACTCCCTCATTCTTTATGGTTATGAACTGTAATTCATTAACCATTTATGACCAGAGAGTTATCCATAAGTCATTGTTTTGATATTTATATTTTCTATGCAATTAAGTAGAATTAAGTAACATTATTATTATTATTATTATTATTAATTGTAATAAATACAAATATTGTTATAGTAGTAATAATAATAACAACAACAATAATAATAATAATAGTTATTGATTTATGTATTTGTTTGTAATTGTTTTATTATTGTTATTATTATTATTAGCCCTAGTGTGTTGTGTTGTTGCATTTTCAACAGTGCATCTCAACTAATCCTTGTCAATAAAGTAACTAAAATTGTAACTTAAATGCAGTATATTGTCTCATCCCTCGAACTATAAAAACTCCGTGCAGAAGATCATTGAACCAAGAGCCATGTTTTTTTTTTAGAATTCCCTGGAGTTTCCACTCACCAAGACAACAGAATAAATGGCTTGCTCAAAAGAATAACTTTTGGAAGCATCTGAGTGCTTTGTCTTATGTGGGCTGCTTGAATTCATGAATTTTTATTACTGATTTGTCTTTTTTTTTATTACAATTCAATTTTTATAACACAATATTCTCGAAAGTTGGACGATTAAATCTGAGAAAATATCCTCTTCATTTCTTTTTCATCAAATAGTTTCTCCTTGCCTTTGTTAAACCTGTAAAGACCGTAGCTGTCACGTAGCTCTTCATGGAAATGCCTGGAGTCAAACTCCACAAATGTATCGGCCGTACTGGAGCTGGAGCTTACTCCAGTATGCAGTTGGAAAAAAATGTTTGCCATGTTCATCACCTTTCATCATACATCATAGATTATATACAGAATTATTATTACTGCCTGATCAGGTCTGAAAATTGATAATAATTTTGATTTTGTAAAACAATGTCGTTTTATATGGAATACAATAATACTGCTTAAAGCATCAGATGCGTAAAAGGTTGCGGGTTTGAATCCTGGCCACAACTTTTTTTTAAAATTTTTTCAAAGCGCAGTCTTCATCTCCTGTCTGTGTCTCACAGATGGGTTAAAAGCAAAGAGACATTTTCCTTTCAAAATAAATAGAAAAATAATTTAAATTGAGACGTACACTCAGGTGAGATTTATATATTAAAATATATAATTTCACATTTGATATTTTCATACTGACAGCCACTAGGGGGCACTCTAGACCCGTGTGCCAGTATCTGCTACCCCTGTACCACTGAAAATGTACATGTTCGTTATTTTCACACTGATAGCCCTTAGAGGGCACTGGTGCGACTTATAGTCCAGAAAATATGGTAACCCTGATCGCCGAGATTATTATTTCCTTTAAAGAGATGCCAGTCATTTTATCACTGATAGTGAGGACATTGTTGAAACATGAGGGGGAGAAAAGAGGGACTAAAGAAGGAGACGGGGAGAGTGTGTTAAGTTCCTTCACTTTCCTCTAATCAGATTGCAGAACAAGCAAGTGTGGTCACTCAAGTGAGAAATTGTTTTGCGCTCCAAGCAGTGACGGAATCGTTTAATGCTTCAGGATTCGTGCTGCTTCCAGTTAAAATGATTGCGACTGTAAATAAGTCTCTTGTCATTATATTAGCGAATCATGTATATTTGATTGTCCCCATTATCCTCCCTAAACATATTATGCAGCATGAGCTGTGAAATGATGTCAGCTGCAGATCTATGAAGAAAACGTTGGCACATGCTGTCAAACTCTCCATACGATTCACCAAGCTCTGATGTAGGCTAATAAAAAAGAATAAAATAAAAAAAATTAAATTAAATTACGAATAAATACATAATTTTATAAGCCCCATTAGAGTATTTATATTTTCATTTTAAACCTCTTTTTTTACCAGCAAAACAAAACCAAAGCTACATACAATGTATCATTGTTTCTTGCATTAGCAATGTTGCTAACAGCCAGGGAAATCTTATCTTATACATTTTAATAAATCACTAAATTTCAACACATCAGTTTGACCTGGCAGACAACAGTGTTTTCTTTGAAAATGTTTCCGTGCATATTTAAAATTTTTTGCTGTATGAAATCATTAGTCTGTTTCCCTTTGTACATGAGCCATTGAACAAATGGTCTGTGTCTGAAACCATCTGCAGCCATACAGTAGCACAGCCCACGTTACGCCACATCAATGAACGTTAATTATGGAAGTCATTTTGCGTTCATGGAAGCAGGTGCATTGAATTTGAAAAATGTACCCCCAGGGTTCGAGAGTTTCCACAGGAGGTGGTGTGTCCTCGCCGACCATTCGTGTCATCTATGGTTTATTGTACTGTGTTTTTCTTCTTCCTCTTCCTCTTTCCCGTGCAACAAAGACAAATACAGGATCGGTGAAAGTCTCACTCTTTAAAAGACACCAGGTCATTATTTTTGCTTGTACTATTTCTGACACCCTCCCGAGGGAACGTATTGACTGCCGCTCATATCGGCTGCACCTATTTTCAGGCAACAATGAAACAGCAATCAGTCACAAACACTGGATTCTATTTCTCCAGAGCCGTCATTATCCCAAAGGCACAAGGAGACAATATTATTGAGTAAAAGTGGAATAATCCGCTGAGCCGCGCAAGGACAATGAACTGTCCCCCTAACACCACACACTTTAGCCAGGAGGCAATAATCACCAGACGTGTAAAACAAGAGTTGGACGATTTCTGACATAAACTGTAACTATTTAATATCCTCAAATTCAGGTGGTACTTTTAGCCTCCCTCTCCCTCGCGCCGCTCCATGTGCCTGACAGGCATATGTTAGGTAGAATATAAGAGGAAAACAATATAAGACAGGCAGCTGGAGAAAGTGAAATGCTGTAATTAGAGACGCACCAGGGACAACCATGGAGGGAGGGGGGGGGCAAAGGAGCCGAGCGAGAGATATTGACATTGTCTTCTAGTAAATCAAGCCTGAACACAGAGCAGAAGATTCTCAGTGAAGGTTACAGACACAGAAATATCCCTGCACGCCAGGCTCATGATTCATTTAATCACGTGTGTTTTACAGTCGTGAATGAATGGCGTGATCATTTGAATCTGATCATTCTGCATCCGAAGAGACACTTTGATCCCATTTCTGAATCGTTTTTTTATAAACCTAAAGACCAGATAATGTCCTCATGACTGAGTTTTGAGTTTTTCTGAAATTCAGGAAAAAATTAAATCCCAGGATGTAGATAATGGATGCATAAAGAATCGGATTTAGAAGTAAGGAATTTGAATGAAGGGATGTGCGATATTAACGTTCTGCTGATATTCGATATTGTCCAAATACCTAATTTCTGATTCCGATATCAACCGATACCGATAAAGGCCTGGTAATATTTATTTATTTATGTGGACAAACCACTGTATGAGTACAAGATGAATTACATTAGCTGCAATGCTGCCATCTAGTGACTTTCACTTTAATATACAGCCGTTTATCCCCAAAACTATTTTTCGGTCACACATCAAATCCCAGACATTGTGTTTTTGGGTTGTTATTACTGGAGGAAAACGATTCTTACAGATATTACAGAATACGCTTATATTGAACGGCTAAATGAAAGGAGCATTCACCAAAAGTATGAATATCTGTAGAGCAGAAAGGTCATGGCTCACCATAAGAACTCCGTAGAGGATTTTTCTGTCTTTTCAATAAATCCTCTATCAGCCAAAACACTGGGGTTTTTCTGGTCGGAGTTCATCTGCGATGGACTGGAAGAAGAAGAGTCTAAACTTCCGCTTGTTTTTCTTAGCAAAACACATTTTTGAATGCATGTGTCAAAGATCAACAACAGCATCCAGACTGTTATCAACACAGTGTGCAAACCTTATTTTCGTAATGGTGTTAGACTACATCATCTTTACCCAGCATAGATCCAGGTCTGAAATACTGTAGAAGAGTCATATTTCCACTAAAAGAAGACATTTGTCTTCTGAAAATGGCATGAAAATATAAACACACAGAGCAGAAGAGG